TTCTGGATCAGCAACTATCACCTGCTTACTGTTGATCCGGGAGGGCAGTGCAGTGGGGCGGGGCGGGGGGTGCTGGTGGCTGTTTTTCTAAACATGTGAAAAACTGGAATGTATTTCGAAGAGTCTGAGGGGTACTTAGCATGAGATAATAGTCCCTTTATCCCCAGCCCTGGCTGAGGTCCTGGTTAGAACTTTGTCCACTTTTAGGCTTAAAGAAGGGTGTACACTAAGACCCGGGAGGGGTTGGCAGCATCACTGGCCAGCGGAAATATAACGTGAGTCACGTACGTAATTTAAAATTTTCTGGTAGTAAAATGGAGTAAGTGAAATTAATTTTAGTTATATTTGATTTAACCAAACATATCTAAAATAGTATCATTTTAATATATAATCAGGATAATTGTTGAGCTATTTTACATTTTATACTAAGTTTGGGAAATAATTTTGTAAAAAATAATTTCGTAAAAAGTGTAAATAATTTTACACTTATGACACAGTTCATACTGGCCCCGTCTCAAGTGTTGAGTAGATACATGTGGCTCCTGGCTACCGTATTGGATAGGATAAGTTCAGAGGAAGAGATATATAAAGCTGTCTATGGTTAGAAAGTGAGACCAGGGAAAGACAAAACATACGCCCAGAGGGAAAAAAATGTCTGAAAGTAAACAGCCTTCAAAGTGAAGGGCGAGTCCCTGTAACGGATATCAATGGTTTCCATCTCCACCAAAGGTCCACATGCTGTACCCACCTCTACTCCACCCACCCCACTCCCCCAAAAAAAAACTGTTTACATTTCCGCTGTATGAGATGTTTGGCTTAAATCTAAGGAATGCATTTCAAATAGGGAGAAACTGAATCTTCCCATCTTCCCGAACAGGATAAATATTCTTCTTGCCGTCTTCATTTATTCCACAGACGTTAAGTAAGCAACCAGGTGACTCTCAGGGATGAGTTGAGTTTGTACTAGATGTTAAGTTTGTCTAGATGTGAAGGTTGCGGTGACGATCATCCTCTGGTTTGCATATGACCTGAGTCCAAGGAGGGTATCAGCTGGGTCAGGATCCCTTCTCAGAACTGCGGATCCTTGAGTTAATGATTGGATGACATCCATTACTGCACACTGGACCTTTTAGACAAAGAAAAAGTATTCAAGAGAAGTTACAGTGCCTGTTTTCAGGAGAGGCAGAAGCTGGGTGTTGCTATCATCCTTACCCCAGCTATCCCATCACGAGCCAAGAGGGAGGTGGTGTATGGCGACTAGAACCCGAGAGGTTCAGTACTCAGTGGCTTTGCCACCTTGTGAAAATCTTCAGAATTCCATGAGCCTTAAAATTTCCTTTTCTGCCCTCCCCAAGTCAAAGGGTGAGTATAAAAGGCATGTGAGGTAATGGACCTATATGTGCTTTTTTTTTTTTAAGATGTTGGAGGTAGGAGTTTATTAATTTATTTATTTTTGCTGTGTTGGATCTTCGTTTCTGTGCGAGGGCTTTCTCTAGTTGTGGCAAGCGGGGGCCACTCTTCATCGCAGTGTGCGGGCCTCTCACTATCGCGGCCTCTCTTGTTGTGGAGCAAGGCTCCAGACATGCAGGCTCACTAGTTGTGGCTTACGGGCCTAGTTGCTCCGCGGCCTATGGGATCCTCCCGGACCAGGGCTCGAACCCGTGTCCCCTGCATTAGCAGGCAGATTCTCAACCCCTGTGCCACCAGGGAAGCCCCCCTATATGTGCTTTGAAAGCGACTTTAAAAAAAAAAAAGATGCTTTACAAAAGAAAGGGACAGTGGGACCTCCCTGGTGGTCCAGTGGTTAAGACGCGGAGCTCCCAATGCAGGGGGCATGGGTTTGATCCCTGGTCGGGGAACTAGGATCCTGTATGCCACACGGCTCAGCCAAAAAAAAAAAAAGGGGGTAGTAAACTATCAGGTGGTTCTTAATGTAGCTGATTCACCAAAACTCTTTTAAATTTAAGTGCGAAGTATTTGCTAGATGATTGATTCCAGTCACTCCTTTAGGATTAAAGTTGATTCGAAAGATGCTGTGGGGCTTTGGTAAACTGGAGGTCACGTCAGTAAATTGTCTGCATCCTCTCTTTGTGCTGCACTTGACCTGAGGTTGTCAGGCCAGCAGCTGGAGTTTGGAAATATTTTCTCTCTTTATGAGAACTTTTATTTTCTCGAGGTGAGCCAGACCCACCAGTCTTGGCACACTGTAGACAAAGAATCTCAGTGTTGGGTAACCGAGGTGCTCTTCAGCCTTGCTCCCCAAAAACTGGTCTGTGGACCAGCAGCATGGGCACCACCAAATGGAAATGAACAGGCTTAGGATGCATCCAGATGTGTCAGATGAGAATCTGCATTTTAACAGGATCCCAGGGGAATCTGACATACAGTAGAGTTTGAGCAGCAGTGCTCTACAATATCCCATCTAGCAAAAGTCAACACTGCCTCAGCTGGAACAGCTGCTGGGACTGACCACTCACTTCCTCTCGAGGCAGTCCCTTCTGTTGGACAGCTCTCATGTTTAGAAAGTTTTACCTTCTATCGAGTCAAAATCTGCCTGTAGGTATCACCCACTCAGTGCTGCCACATAGAAGCCCGTATAGTAGGTGCTTGGGAGTGTCATTATTTTCCTTTGTTATGCAGAAGCCTTGATCCAGAGGCTGGATGGGCAGTGAGTGGGGCCACACAAGGTCAGCTCCCAGTCACCTGGCAAAGGCCCGCGGGTCCTGAGACGTCTTCTAAAGAGCAGAACCCTTGCAGTTCTGTCTCTTCTCCCCGAGTCCAAGGGCGCCGGTTTAAGAGATTGCAGTTTGGAGAACTTGAAAAGGTTTTCCAAAAGGATGAGAGTGTAGAAGTGATGGCTGGGATGAAAGCTGGTCCTGCAGGCCATGCTAATGGATGAGAATTTACAGCGGAGACGAACAGGAAGGGATGGTGTGGTGGGGTAGTGTTACCTCTTGTTAGCTGTGTGACATTGGGGAATGCACTAAACCCCTCTGAGCATCCGCTTCCTGGGCTTTAAAAGAAAATGGGATGATAAACCCTGTCCTGCCTGTCTCCAGGGTTTCTGTGGGACTCATTGAGAATAATGTCAGTGAGCACACTTAATAATGAGGGAAATGGTCCGAGGATGAAAGAGAAGGTCCAGCGGGACAGTAGGTGAATCCAGGAGGCAGGTCTACCACTAACTTGCTGGGTGACCTCAGGGGAGGCCCTCACCCTCTCTGGGCCTTCCTGTGAAACAAGTGGGTCACACACTAAAGATCAGAGTGCTCTTCTAGAAGGCCCTGGAGTTGCTGTGACTCATGACTATTATTGCACGTTAGCTGGAGGGTTTCTCCAAGGATGGCTCTTCAAATATTCATTTAGGGAGACTTCTTAGAGCTTGGATTTGAATCCTCTCTGGGATAAATAATTCCAGACATTCTTTCAGTGAAGGCCTGGCCTGTGCTACAGGATCCTTACTTAAAAGACAGGTCCGCTTGGCCACGATTGCACTTTATTTCCACGTCAGCATGTGGGGCCTAAGCTGGTGAGTGAAGAGTGATAGTTTCATTTCTACCAGTGTGTCAGGACACACCATCCTGTTTCTGGAAGCAGGCTCTGCCCCATGAGATATCAGAACTCATCGATCGCATACTTAGCTGGAGAGTATCACGTGCAGGTTTTTCCTGGGGAACAGTCTCACTTGATACGTCACATATTACCAAGGAGTTTTTCAAAAGTGTTGCTCTTTCTATACACACGGGAAAATGGCATACCTGATACTTTTACGAGCCTGCTCTGCCAGAGGAGGTTCCCAGTCAGAATAAGTGGAACTGGCTTTTGGTACAGCAGCCCTTCCATAGATGCTTGCCAGCTGAGAGCAAGGGGACCAACGTGTGTGGTTACAGAGGGACATAACTGTTCCTTAAGGTAGCCCTTCTGTGTCTCTTCCCTGCCAATCTGGGGTCCCTGTGTTGTTCATTCTCACCTCACTGCAGCCATGTTCCCAACTGCTCATTTCATTGCCTGGAACCTTGCTTCTAACTCTGTACATTGCATTTTCTCCTCTGCACCCACCGTGTTGTCTTGGAAACTCGGTGGCCATAGGCCACGAGTATCCGGTGTCATTGAATGTGATGGTGTGGTATGTGTATTTGCTCACACTTTTATTTTGAATCCTTTCCAATGTGACATCTGCTAAAATGTCTCCCTTATAATTTGCTTGGTGATCACAGCCTTCTCATCATTCATTGAGAGCAGGACCTGATCTCACAGAATCTGAAAAGAGCTATGTGGTAAGATGCCTGTTGAATAAGACTGTAGCTTTTCTAAAGAGAATTCTTACTGATTTGTAGAGTCTAGACTAGAGTAATGCCTGGTTAACTCACAGAGCCATTATTTACAAGAATTATATGGCTATTGTAGTAGAGAGAGATGTTAGGCCACCCTCTCCCCTCAAAAAAAAAAAAAAAAAAAGCAGAGGAATTTTGAGACCATATTTCTACTCTGCCTACATGTGGGATTAAATTAATATATTAGTGCATGATTGGGGATACATACTTGCATTTCTATCCTGTAATCATTCCATTTGTAACAGTTACTCACTAATTACAGGCTTTTATGCTGCTGCCTTTTTTTTTTTTAAATATTCATACTAAATCCCAAATTCTTCTGTATCTTACCTGTTTTTTTCCATGCTTACACCTGGATTCCTCCTGCACTCCACTACTGGAATATCTATTTTTTTAACCTGGATCTTCAACTCTGTTGTTTCCCTGGACTTATGTGCTTCGTCTGGAATGTTACATCTCTTCCTCTCTTTCTTTTTTTTTGTCCCCATGTTGACTGTTTTATGGGGGTTTCTGGATATCTCGGGGCCACCACAGGAAGCAGTTTGCAATGAGATCATAAACATTGCCGAAAAATCTGTTCATTACTGCAGCACTGTTTCTCATCCCCTTGACTTTCATCACAAGGTATCCCCTTCTGACAATAAATCATCTCTAATCATTTCTCAGCAACCTCAAGCCCAGCAGCGAAGAGTCACCCCAGACAGGAGTCAAACCTCCCAGGATTTGTAAGTACACTTGGTGAACCTCAGTTCTCGAGTTCTCAGTAGACCGTTGGGCTTAGGAAGTGGGTCACTGACTGACTGTAGGAAGGACAGCCATTTGGGGGGATGAACCAGTCACTCCAAGCTTCTCTGAGGGTTTCTAGTTAAGGCTGTTTCCCATCAGCCAACGTGAAAATAGGTGGCAGGTAAATAAAGGAGGTCATGGACTCTTGGGGGAGAGAGGTAAAGAATTTACTGCCATACAGGGCAACTGGGAGCTGCGCTGACTGGTTTCATTCCTAGTGCTGTGATAGTGTAGAGGAAGGAGTGTTAATTCTGACTGGAGAGGAATGAATAGGGTTGATCCATTCATTTAAAAAAAAAAAAGTATTGGATATCTATGTTCTAAGCACAAAGGAGTAAACTCCATTCACAGAGGAAGGGGGTTCTGGAATAAGCATTGAAAGACAAATCGGATTTGAGAGCTAGAGCAGGGAGGTAAAAGGTCTTCTCAGCTGAGAAAACCAAATGTGCAAAGGCCCGGAGTTGGTAGTGTTTGGAGAACATCGAAAAACCCCTGTGGCCACGGTGTGCAGTTCATGGAGGGAATGGAGACAAAGCTCAAGGAGCAGATTAGGACCAGACTGTAGAATGCAACTGAAATAAATTTGGATTTTAGTCTGCATTCACTCAGGAGCCAGTGAAGGGTTTTAAAATCAGGACCATACTTGGGAGTTCCCTGGTGGGTCCAGTGGTTAGGACTCAGCGCTTTCACTGCTGTGGCCCCCGGCTTCAATCCCTGGTCGGGAAACTAAGATCCTGCAAGCCACGCAGTGTGGCCAGAAAAAAAAAAAAGAGGAACACATGAATTGGATTTCGTTTTAGGTAGATACATCAGTCAACGGAGTGGAGAGTGGATTTCAGAGACAAAGGACAAAGATCGTGGTTTGGAGATATGAATACAGCAAAGAAGTGGTGAGGGCCTGAGCTAGGAAAGAGTGGGCCTCTGGTGCATGGAAGAATATAAGATTATATAAGAATATAAGATTCCCCGAGGAGATTGGGAGAAAGGGAGAAGAGAACTGAGGATAGATCCTTGGGGAACCAACTTTTAAGGCAACAGAGTAGCAGCCAGCAAAGGAGACAGCAGGAGACACAGGCGAGGGTCCAGGAGCACTCACTTGTGTGCCACAGTAGCAAGCAGCGTGTGGCCAGTGGTGCCCCTGCTTCAGAGAGGCGAGGAGGGTAGGAAATGAGAAATGTCCTCCAGGTGGCACCTGGAGAAATCGTTGGTGACCTCTGCAATGACAGCGCTGCTGCAGGCAGACCCTGTGTTACAGAGGGCTGATGAGTCTGTGCGATGGTGAGTGGGCGGAGCGGGCGACAGGGAGGCTGTAGGTTCAGGGAGTAGCAGAGACGGGGGAGTTGTTCTTAGGATGCAGAGGCTTAAGCACATCTATACTTGAGAAGGAGTTAACAGAATCGAAAGATGTAAGAGAGAAGACGTTAAGTCGAGGAAATAGCCCAGGGAAGGGAGTTTAGCCTGGCCAGGAACAGGGACCCTTCCTTACACATGGCAGTAGGGGCAGGAGGGGAGGAAAATTAAAGCTCTGCTCAGAGGCGGGGGAAGAACTCTATGGAACCGTGTCCAAACAGCATGAAGCCCCTCCAAAATTAGAGCCAGTCGGGGACCCAAGCAGCAAGGTTGCAGGACTGCTTCCAGCCGGTCTCCGCTGTCTGGGGTGAGACAGTGAGGCAGGTAACAGGAGTAATCTCCCAGAGCTGAGACGGGCAAAGCAGCCACAGCGGCAGTAAAGGGCCTAAGGCATCGTAACGAGTCCAGGTTGGGTAAGAGACAGCAGGCAAATACAGAAACATCAAAATGTATTCATTTACCAACTGGAAATCCATCTGCAACTCTTAATTCCTCATTAGAGACCTTCCTTCTGGCGGGCAGATCCATCTACCGGAGTTTCACTACATTTGAATAAATATGTAAAATTAAATTGCCCCTTTGGTTTTAGCAGAGAGCAGAACCTCTTGTTTCTAGGAACTGACTCCACTTACTTGTTTCTAGTCTCTCTTGCCCACATGCTGGAATTCACTGACATCCACTGAAAATGGTAGATGATGGGCTGGTTTGCAAAGTTTTACCTGCTACTGTTGTTTCAAAGTAGCAAGTAAACAGAACTGTGAACTGGTGCATAGTAGGTGCTTCTTAAATATCTATCGAAAGAGTAAATGAAAGCAAGCGTTTATTTGTTGCCAAAACAGGTATCATTTCACAAGTAGTCCAGCTTTTTCCAGAGCCTGTTGTCAGAACAGACCAAATTGCCTTAAGGCCAACTAACAAGCAAATAAAAATCTTAACCCCAAACATCACTGGGCTAGAAATGCTTTCAAGAGTTTCAGAAAAGTGGCATCCACGTTTAAAAGCAATTAATGAAATGTGTGTTGGCACGTAAAGAAACTCAAGGTACTTTTGCTAAACAGTGAGGCAATTGAGATGTACTTTTAAAAATTATATATATACACATGACAATTGCCTCATGTTCTCCGATGTATGTGACTAGAATATAATGTCTGTCTCTGGACCTAAGTAACTTCTGATTATCCTTGATAATCGACATGTATTACCCTATGTTAAGAAAAGGACTCAATTAAAGGGGGAGCATCTAGACAAAAAAGCTTGGCTGTGGTAACCAAATGAAACTGAATAAAAGGACTGATCAGGACTTGCTTCTCAGAAGTTCCCCATCCCTGTGAATCTTAATTTGCTTATCACATGGATCTCCCCAAATTATTAGAGAAATAGCCAATAAAATACTTTTATCCCCACTGATGAGCAGGAAACACTACCCAAATGTTGATTCAGCTGAAATGGGTTTTTAAAACTCATTAATTCCATCAGTGTTTGAGTCAATGTTTATTTCTCTCACAGATTTACCTACCAAGCACTGTATAGCTATATACCACAGAATGCTGATGAATTGGAACTCCGAGACGGAGATATTGTTGATGTCATGGAAAAGTGTGACGACGGATGGTTTGTTGGTAAGTGACATCATACTTTTCTTACCAGTTGTGTATTGAAGGAAGAACTAGGCGTGATGAGGCACGAACTATTCTCTACACACAGAGAAGGGCCTTCTCAGTTCCTATACCACCATTAGGAACGATGAGCCACCCAGTTCATGTTTGCTCTCGGGGCAGTGTGGATGATGCCAACACCTACTGCATGGAAGGGCAGGTGCCAGCTTCATCCATTGAGTTCTGTTTGTTTGTATTTCTTTCTTTCTTTCTTTTTTTTGTCTGTGCCATGTAGCTTGCAGGATCTTAGTTCCCTGACCAGGGATGGAACCAAGGTCCCAGCAGTGAAAGCACTGAGTCCTAACCGCTGGACCGCCAGGGAATTCCCTCTGTATTTCTATTGCACATCTGTCCGTCCTACATTCGGAAATTTTAATTTTTAAAACGCCTGTGGAACACCACAAGAACACTTGAGCCTAGATTTCTGCCATGAAGCTCAAGCATATGTGTAGACATTCCAAAGACCTCATTTACTCCAGGCCTCTAATAACTTTCCTCAAAGCAACCTGCTTAATTAAAGGAGTCACTTTCATAGGATGGGGGAGAGAAAGATCAGAATTTGAGATTCTGTAACAAAACAGATGCTTGATATACTTTCTTACTGAAGTTCTCTCAACAAACAGCCTGTAAGACAAGAATTATCCTCTTTCCACAGATTCAACAACTGAGGCCCAAAGAGGTTAAGTAACTAGCCCCAAGGTCACCACCCAGGGAGTAAATGGCAGGGCCAGTATATGAACTTAGGCTCGTCTCTCCCTGAGCCTCTGTTCTTTCTGCTCAGGCACAAATATAATGCTGGGAACCACTGACACTCTACCCCTCAAACAACTGGCTTTACCTTTATCTTCTTTCCAAAGACCACCTCTTTCCTATCTCCCTAGAAAAGCTTTGCTAAATCGAAATAATGTCAGGACTGGGGCCGTGAGAACAAGGCCTCAGCACAAATGGGAAGACAGAAAGATTTGCCTTGGCCTCACCAGCCTCCTAGAAAACTACCCCATCCTCCTCCCAGGGTCCGCAGAAGTTTTGTGGTCCTCACCACGTTGAGGTTCTATTCAGAAGGAAACCAGGTCTGAAAGTCAGCAACATTCTAGTGCAGTGCAAGTCCAATAGAAACATAATGCAAGGAATTCCCTGGCAGTCCAGTGGTTGGGACTCTGTGCTTTCACTGCTGAGGGCCCAGGTTCAATCCCTGGTCAGGAACTAAGATCCTGCAAGCCTCACAGCACAGCCAAAAAAAAAAACCATAATGGGGCTTCCCTGGTGGCGCAGTGGTTGAGAGTCCGCCTGCCAATGCAGGGGACACGGGTTCGTGCCCTGGTCCGGGAAGATCCCACATGCCGCAGAGTGGCTGGGCCTGGGAGCCATGGCTGCTGAGCCTGCGCGTCCGGAGCCTATGCTTCGCAGGCCACAACAGTGAGAGGCCTGCGTACCGCAAAAAAAAACAAAAACAAAAAAAACATAATTCAAGCTATGTATGAAATTTAAAATTTTCTGAAAGCCACATTGAAAAAAGTACAAAGACACCAGTGAAATTCATTTTAATATATTAAGCCCAGTGCATTTAAAATATTATCATTTGAACACGTCATCAGTATGAAAAATTGCCAGGGAGGTATTTTACATTCTTCTTTTTGTACATAAGTTTTTGTACATAAGTTTCTGAAATCCAACATGTATTTTACAGTCACAGCATCGCTCGGTTCAGACCAGCCCTGTTTCAAGGGCTCAGGAGCCACGTGTGGCTGTCCTATTAGAGTGCAGGCTAGTAGGGATTTGTTAAACTCTTCCAGGAGTATTTACATTTTTATGAGAACTTGGGATGGGGTGAGGGGCATCCGCCAGGCAGCTAAATAAAGGAAATATTTTAGATTCCTTAATTCCTCAAACACTTAGAAAAGTGGCCTTGTGTTCAGACTAAGAAGAAAATAACCCAGGAGAGCTCATTTTTCTCATCCGTCAGGAAAGGTGCTCACCACCCATATGAGCACATCTCTGGGCTCTACCATCTCAGTTCTCTGCAGCCTCCTTGACCATCCCCCTGGGGTTTCAGCTAGCTGTTCTAGATGGCCTTAGCTTTGACACATTCTTCTAGCCTAGAAGTTTTACTTTGGGCAACAACTCCAACCCACTGATAGTGGCTGCTTGAAGTGTGTTCAGCAGGATTCTGAAGCCCTATCCAAGCCAATCGGGGAAAGGATGCAATGATCACATTATGATGTTTGCTAATGAGAGGGTAATAATGACGCAACATCTATCTGCCACTCCACCCTTATCTCCCAGCTTTAGAGAGAGAATCCCAAGGGAAGGAACTATTGCTAGATTAGGGATCCAGCAATGCTGGATGTGGAGCAGCCCAGGAAGGGCTTGTTCCCTGGTAGCTCAATGTTCCTGGCTCAGAGGGAACCCTGACAAGGTTGGTAGTGAAGACAGGGAGTCAATCTGGGGCCTAGGCTCAGGAGGGAGATTTCCTTTTGCTGTGCAGTCATAGCCAGTGGACTTTAGAAATCCTACAGTTTAGAAATTCTAAATCCCCAGTACCTTGTTGTGTTGGTAACTGTTCATTCTTCCATAAAGGAGAAGTACTGGAAAGAGCAATGGGCTGGGAGTCAGAGACCTGGGTTCAAAGTCTGTCTGAGTTTGGGTTTCTGTGAAAAAAAAAAGGGAGTGTTAGAAATGCCCGCCTTGCTTATCACCCAGCATTATTCTGCAGCCTAAATGAGATAAGATAGGGGAAAGTGATTTGGAAACCAAATGCCCTTCTACAAGCTGCAGGATTGTTACCAAGGACTCTCTCTGAACTCAAATGGGTGAGTCTTCTCATTGTGTGTATTTTTTTTTTTTTTTTTATAGGTACTTCAAGAAGGACAAGGCAGTTTGGTACTTTCCCAGGCAACTATGTAAAGCCTTTGTATCTATAAGAAGACTGAAAACCACAGAGATGATTTTTATTGGAGGATGAAGCATAATTCATGAATTTGTCTCTTTATTTAAACATTGAGTCAGTAGGAAAACTAATGCAGTGGATAAAGAAAGAAGAAAAAGAGAGGACAGAGAAGTGTTGCATTTAAAACCTGAACCTGTCTAAGCTTACTGCATGTATCAGGGCTGAACCACGCAGAAAAGGAATGCGGCAAGTTGGTATTTACTTAGCTGCTTCTGGGAGCCACTCCAGCCCTGCCCTCTCCCCCACCCCCGCCCCACCTTGAGTAATCTGACCTGCAGCCTGGTCCAGGAGCAGTTAGGCCAGAAATGCTTCTTGCTGCTCCAGGCTTGAGGGCTTTGGCTCAAAAGGGTCATTTAGCCTGCAGGAGCCCTCAGAGCAACAGGCAGATCCCCAGCCATCCTCCAAGGCCCACACAGACTCCCCCAGTCGCCCCGGAGCCTGCCAGTCCCCTAGTGCTGTGAGAGACCAGTCAGGGCTGCCAAGGCGATCCCTAAACAGTGGTGGAGACCCCAAACTACCCAAGGCCCAGTCCCTCACTGGAGGTAGGTGGGGAAATGGAGGTCAAAGTAGGCGCCCAGTGCATTCAGCCTGCGTGCAGCTTTGCCACTGACGCCCCCGGTGTTCAGCCACAAAAGCACACAAGGATTGCCCCTGGAGCAGGGTAGCCAGGCAGATAGTTAAATTTGTATTTCCAGTTGATTAACTCAAGAAGCGCTGTAGCCTGAGGGCCCTTGCAGTGGCTCCTTCCCCGTATCACTGGCTGTTATGAACGGTCACCTTCAGGGCAGCACAGTTTCATTTAGCAGAATGCCATTGCTGCTCTTTCTTTTCTGGGTTGTTTTAGGCCAGGACAGTTTGGGGTTGATAGGCCTATTCTCACAGAGAACCAAGGATGGTGTTCAGTGACTCAGGTAACGTACACCAGTGTACACTGGACGCCAGGGGCCACTGATGAGCAAGCCACGCTCCAAGCCTTAGAAGAGGTTCACCGTGTCTCCATTTTCATTGGCCATAGGAGTCCAAGGACTACCCCAAACGTAGGAACCCAAGGTTATGACTCACCCTGTGAGGCTTCTCTTTAGAGCAGAAGGTGCAGATACAGTGGCCCTAAGAGTGAGGCCGTGATTCTGCCACTCCCAGGAGGCTGCTGGGATGCCTGGGGTGTTCCGTCACAACTTTATCCAATTCAAGGATGCTTACTGGCCACTCTGTTAGACACCTTGGAGAGATAAAGATAGAAATGACTCATTCCCTGCCTGCTGGGAACTCAGAGGTGGTTGGAGAGACAGACACACAAAAATACTGAATCAAGAGAGACTGTGATAAGTGCTAAGAAGGGTGTGAGAGAGGAAGAGATGAATTTTCCCTGAAGGGACCCTAGAAAGCATTGTCATATTTCTGTCTCCATTAGCTCACCTTGAACAACTAGGATGCTGGAAGAACCTTTGTCTGAAGGTGGTTTATGGCTGGAAATACTTGGAACTGTTTCCAGGGTCTTCAAACTCTCATCCTGCCCACAAATACACATCCAAGGTCACGAATAGGAGTAGCAGTTCCAGGTTGATAGGGTGTGTACAGGAACCCTGACTCTTTGCATATAGCTCAGAATTGGCCTAGGACCCATGTCCCAGAGTCTTTATAAGCACAGAGTTTGTCTTCAGTGCCTCAGCTTCTCCCTCCACTACGCATCTTAGGACCCCCACCAGCTGCCCACCCCCGTCAGAGAGCCACAGTACCCTCACTCCCTGTCCTTCAAAGCATGCTCTCAGGAAAGCAACTGCCACTGACTCCTTCACAGTAAAGTATAAATGACTGATAAGAGGAAGGTGTTATTTCTTCACAGAAACACTGGTTTTTCACTAGAACAGAGCCTTAATCCCAAGGGGGAAAGGCTGTGGAACTAATGGTGGAGGTGGGGCTGGGGCTAGAGGTGAGGGCGGATGAGCTTCCTGGGTAGAAAAGGACTTATTGCTATTCCCTAAGAAAGCCTCAGTGCTTTGGAAGTCCACCTCACCATCCAAGGGCACTCTGTTTCTGTCTCTCCTCCCCGCTCCAAATATAGTTCAAGTGCATATCCACATGCATTTCACACAGCAGCATCACCCATTTTGGAATGTATATTGGCTAATGTGTTTCCTGGTCTTTCTTAGATGCAAACCATTCATAACACGATCTTACCTGTTTTTTGAGGGGTGCTTATTGATTAAGTAGGTAAGTTTGAACACCTCTTTAAATACAGCTAGAAAATAAACCAATTTGTAAAGCCACATTTGCATATGATGCCAGCCTCACGACTTTGTATATCTCCAGAATCCCAGGTATGCCTCACCAATTTGCCCATCTTTAATAAACGCATCTGTTAAAATTTGCATCAAACTTCAGCTTCCTACATATGACACAACAAGGAACAAAGGGTTCCAACTGCCCCTTTGTCTTCAGACATTTAGTAATACAAAATACCTATTTTTATGCTGAGATATTTATACAGGTTTATTAATTGCAAGTGCAACTAACTGGCGGCATGCCCTGCAACACATTTTGAATAGATTAGCCATGCTTCTGGGTAAAGGCAAGCCCCACACTACTTAACTTCTGCAGTCTTTCTGGGATCAGTAAGAGAAAAAAAATCACATGCTTAAGAAGTGGGACTGTAAATATGTATATTTAACTTTGTATAGTCCATGTACCTACTTTGTATAGAAAAATAATTTTAAAAATTTGAACCGAAGGGGGAGTAAAGTAAAAGAGTCATGAAGTTTTTTTGCATATTTAAATGAAGGAATTCCAAAATAACTTACCTGCCGATTTTTAGCACAAAAATAGCCCTTGTAAAGTGTTATAATTTTAAATAATCATTCTTTCTGGGAGAGAAGGTAACTGTTATCTCAATTATAGTGGTTTTTCTTATTTTGTTTTTGATTTTTTTTTTTGCAGTCCTGTTTATCTGCAGTAGTATTAAGGCCTATTGCTAGAATAGGTTACTACAAAAAATATATTCTGAAAGAAAAATAACTGACATTATATATAACCAATTAAAGTATTGCCATTTAAATTATACACCAAGAGCATGTACTATGCAGACACAGATTTTTCTGTTCATCTATTTTTCTTTATGCAGTGGATCGATCTGACAAATAGACGTTGAATTACTACATTGGCTGTACATGTTATTTAATAAACTTTATTCAGGATTGCGTGGCATATGTTTGTTCTTACCATTCATTGTTTCCTACCCTTTCAAATTTCTCAAATGAGACCTATATTCACCTCTTCAATGGTGCACACTCTCCTTTTCCATTCTTACTAACATCTGGTTTCCCCCTCACTCCTTGAGGGTACCACTTACTCTATTCTCAACAGGCTAACTCCGTGACACTCTGAATTGATTAACGTTGACCATTTCACCATTCTTTCTAAAATGTTTGTATTTGTTCTGATTACAAGAATAATGCACATGTCTTTAAAAGCAAAGTGACCATTATAAAATATGTATAATGGGTCTCAATTTACTCCACAAGACATGGGTACAGAAAATGAGACAGCACTTAGTTTTTCTAAACAAGTTAAATCTGGCTACGAGTCCACAGTGGGTGAAAATGCAGTCTGTCCTTGTGTTCACTCCCAAACCAAGTGTGTCAAGGCTATGGCACTAGGCATCCAGCCTCCCCTGGCATCTCTTGGGGTGGGGCCTGCTACAGCAGCATGGGTCTGTCCCATAGTAGAAAACACCAAAACTCCCACCCTGCCTCTTCTGATGCTGTCCTTCACCCTTCAACTCAAAGCACCCATTCGCACTGCTACCCCTTTGGGGTGACTCGATGGAATCTCCTTTGCTTAAGCCTTCAACAGTCCTGGGAGAAGGGTCATCTTCCAGGGGTCTGACAGCCTTGATACTGGGCCCTGAGTCACAAGCACTACTTCTTCCTTCCATCCCGTCCAACAAATCCATCAGCTCTACCTTCAAAATACCTTTAGAACCCAACCACTTCTATCACCACAGTCCAAGCCATTTTCTCACCTGGGTCATTGTAGTCACTTTCCAACTGGTCTCCCTGCTTCCACCCTTGCCCCCTCTACCTCAGTCTGAACAGAGCAACCAGAGTGATCCCTTTAGCAGCTACTCCTCTCCCTCGGAGTGGTGCAATGGCCTCGAGTCCAAAGGACACTGCCCTGCCTCCTCTCCCTCGGAGTGGTGCAATGGCCTCGAGTCCAAAGGACACTGCCCTGCCTCCTCTCTCACCTCTGCCTTTCTCATTGTTCCTTGCCGCCACACAGTCCTTCCGGCCTCACACTCACCAAGCACGTTCAGCTTTAGGGTCTTACTATGCTGTCCCCTAGGCCTGAAAGACCCTGCCCCCAGAGCTGCATGGCGTCCTTCCTTCCTTTAGGTCTTCCTGTTGCCCTCTCAGGGAGGCTTTCTCTGACCACTTTATATGTAATAGGATCCTACGGTCTCCAACCCCAGCATTCTATCCCATGCTCTTTTCCTCTGTGCTTCTCCAAACACTCATCACCATCTGATATTTGTTTTCACAATCAATTGTATAAAGTCCACGAGGGTAAGGATTCTGTCTTGCTATTACATGCCCAACACTTAGAAGAGTGCCCAACTAGTTGGCACTCAGCCAACTAGTTTGAGCAAACAAATGGTTTGAGCAAACAAATGAGTAGATAAATGAATTAAATTAAGCAATGAACCTTTCCAGACCAGAGATCTAGAACTCAGAAAACTGACACTAATTGTGAAAGCAGTGAACCATCATCATGTCACTTTCTTACAGCAGCAAAAATAACAGAAATTAATCTCTTTAAATATTCTGGGCTTTTACAAACATAGAAAGTGAAAGTTCTAAAAAAAAAAAGAAAGAAAGTGAAAGTTCTCTGTAATTAAAGTCACCTCCCCACAGAGATCACCTAACTATCCAACGTATGATCCTCCAAGCTTTTCGCTTTGCGCATACAAAACACATCTCTAAACAAATGCTTTAGACAGTCTTACTTGCTTTTTTCCCTGTTAACAATAGAACTTGGACATGTTTCCATAATTTACTTAACCAACCCCCTATTGGTGATGCAACAGTTTGATGTTATTGCCAGCTTTTTACCACAACAAACAATGCAGCATTGAGTAGAATTATTGGCTCAAAGAGCAGGAACATTTCAAACGTTAAAGAAATATTGTCTTCCCAAAAAATTGCACCAGTTTACACTCCCACCAAATGTGTTGTGTTTCCCCACCACCCAACTGTCTGCTTCCATGAAAGGCTCTTCCTTGGTCTGCCCACCTTTTCTGGCCAGAAGCTTCTCAGTCCCCTTTCTAGATCTTCACCACATCTCAGCCCTCTGTTACTTTCTCTCCACACATGCTCCTTCAGCAAGCAGACTCCCCACGATATAATTTGGCCCGAAGAGTCAATTGTCTGGGCTGCTTTCATTGATAAGTAGTGGAAAACTAACATACTTGCTGGTATTGAGTCACATCCCTGGGAGCTGGAAATAGCCTCAGGCAGGAGTGAATCCAGAGACTCAAACTTTCTCTGTATTTGTCTTATTCTTGGCTCTGTTGGTCTTGTTTGACTACATTTTCACCTCCTGAATGCAGTAATAGGAACTACAGCTGCAGGCAGCTCCAGCCTCACTCTTCCAGTTCTGTAACTCGAGACCAGGCAAAAGGGCCTTCCTGTGACTTCCCTGAAAACAATTCCAGAGGAAGGCAGGCCCGACATGAATATTTAGTGTTCCTTGACTCATCACTTGGGTTAAAGGGACTGGAGTGTGATTGGCAGGCCCACCAGAACATCATGGAATAGGGGACAGGAGAAGGCCAGGCGAGGGGGTGGACTGCTATAAGAAGGCAGCTGGAGAGATAACTCAATGTTCCAAACTGGACTTTAGGCATTATTGTGACAAACTGGAAAATGGGACACCATTTTCCTGTCCCAGGACAAACTTCAGTGTAGCTGAATGTTGGCTCTCTGTGCAGAAGGTCTGCTAGCCAAGGTCTTGAGAAGGACACAGCGTAGGAGGACGTCCATCCAGAGGAGGAGGCTGATGTGACCAAGGGGACATAGCACAACTGTATCACACACTAAAAGTATGATTCTTCTGAAAAGGAACAAAGAGTGGTGTCTCAAAAGTCATGAAGTGTTTGGGTGAGTTGTATGTGGGTGTATTGGACAAGTCTTAGCATGTCAAACCTATCAAGTCTTAGCATGTCAAACCTATCTCAGGGATACTTAGCGGAGGCCTATTAGGACAAACGAAAGAAGTTACTACTTGATAACAAGTAGTTTGTGGAATGTATTAGGCAAGAAGGTGGTTCAGATCGAAAATATTTATATAGGATGGATAAACAACAAGGTCCTAGTGTAGTATATCACAGGTAACATATTCAATATCCTGGGATAAACCATAATGGAAAAGAATATTAAAAAAAAAAAAATCATGTCTCTATGTGTATAACTGATCACTTTGGTCCACAGCAGATTGGCACAACATTGTAAATCAACTCTACTTCAATAAAAAACAATTTTTTCAAAAAAAGAATATTTAAAGAAAATTTAAGATGAACCCACAGATATAAAAGCCCTGATGAGATACTATGAATGACCACGTGACACTTCAGTTTATGAGGTCTCTCCTGGAGAACAACTACTCTGTTCTTCCGGCCCCCTCACTCTGGCATCATCAGAGGCAAAATACTGGGTAGACTGAGTCTCTCTGGCCCCTTCTGGCTTACTCATTTTTAAAGTGACTTCTGACAAACTCACATGAAACTGCAAAAGAGGTAGATCTGAGAATAAGCTTCAAAACAGCATAGATCATGTAGACTGATGAGAGCTTACATTATTAAGGTCAGTGGATCTCAAAGTATGGTCCATGGACCCCTAGGAGTCCCTAATCCCTCTCAGGAGATTCATAATGTAAATTATTTTCATAATAATGTTAAGACACTTGTGGTAGCCAGCTTCCAAGAACGCCTTCAGTGATCCTCACCTCCGGGTATTCACACCCTTGTGTGGTCCCCTTCTGCATTCTATCAGGGTTGTGTGACCAATAGAATATGGCAGAAGAGATGGTATGTAAATAACAAGTCTAGGCCATAAAAGCCATTGTGGCTTCTGTCTTTTGTTTGAACTACACTTTAGAAATAAGTAAGTCCTAGTTGTTGTGTTGGATAAATGTGCTAATTCATCCAAAAGGAGGCATTAAAATGAACAATGGGCTGTGACATTTTTCACAGAACTAGAAAAAATTATCCTAAAGTCTATATGGAACCCATAAAGGACCCAGAATTGCCAAAGTGATCCTGAGGGAAAAGAACAAAGCAGGAGGCACAAACCTCCCAGACTTCAGACAATACTACAAAGCTACAGTAATGAAAACAGTGTGGTATTGGCACAAAAACAGACATGTGGGTCAATGGAACAGAATAGTGAGCCCAGAAATAAACCCACACACCTATAGTCAATTAATCTTTGACAAAGGAGGCAAGAATATACAGTGGAGAAAAGAGAGTCTCTTCAGCAAGTGGTGTTGGGAAAGTTGGATAGCTGCATGAAAACCAATGAAGTTAGAACACACCTCTCACCATACACAAAAATAAACTCAAAATGGCTTAAACACTTAAACATAAGACATGACACCATAAAACTCCTAGAAGAGAACATAGGCAAAACATTCTGACATAAATTGTAACAATGTTTTCTTAGGTCAGTCTCCAAAGGCAATAGAAATAAAACTGAAAATAAACAAATGGGACATAATCAAACTTATAAGCTTTTGCACAGCAAAGGAAGCCATAAACAAAAAGAGAATCTACAAACTTGGGGAAAATATTTTGAATGATACAACTGACAAGGGCTTAATTTCCAAAATATACAAACAGCTCATACAACTCAATAACAAAAAAACAACAACAACCATTCAATCAAAAAATGGACAGAAGACCTAAATAGACATTTCTCCAAAGAAGATATACAGTCAATAGGCACACAAAAAGATGTTCAATATCATTAATTATTAGAGAAATGCAAATCAAAACTACAATGAGGTACCACCTCACTCTGGTCAGAATGGCCATCATTAAAAATTCTACAAATAACAAATGCTGGAGAGCGTGTGGAGCAAAGGAAACCCTCCTACACTGTTGGTGGGAATGTAAGTTGGTGCAGCCACTATGGAAAACAGTATGGAGGT